TCTCATAAATTTAAACATGCATGTATTTATTCTAGGCATCAGCAAAATACTGTCTACCCACAGGCCAAATCTGATCCAAGGGCTGTTTTTGCACAGCTCTCAAGCTAACAATAGTTTTCACATTTTTAAAGTGTTGTTAAAACAAAACAAAACAAAACAAAAAGAAGTATATGTAACAGAGACCACAGGGGCCTGCAAAATCTAAAATACATTTGCTATCCAGACAAAAATATATTTATTTTCAAACAAAAAAAGGTTGCCAACTCCTTATCTACCCCCAAGACCCAGCTACTCCACTCCTAGATATTTACTCCAAAAAAATCAAAATTATGTTCACAAAAAGATATGCAAAAGTTATACTTATAAAAATCTTGTTCATGGTAGCCAAAAATTGGGGAAGGGGGTAATTTGACCAGCTCATCCCAAAATTCACATGGAAGAGCAAAGGACCAAGAATCCTGAAAACAATTTTGAAGAACGTGTTGGCAGGAAAGGACCAACAGAGGTAAACTGCATAATCATCTCTAAAAGCCAACATTTTTTCCATCAAACATTAATTGTTTGCAAGTTAGCTGGCTTTCCTTCCTTGTGTGACTTATCAGTTAATATGTGTAGTATCCATTCATCCTTTTCCTTGCATAATTACCTTAAAAATTCGTTGTTTATAATAGAAAATGAATAGCTTTCACAATCAATTGCTGCAGTACTTTCCTACTGGAATAGTATTTACATTTCCACATATGAAATTAACATGCAAAGTCTATAAGGTTTTTTACTCCAAGTTACATTTAAAATGCTCACCTCTTGAAAACAAACATGCAAATACATCTGAATAGCATGGCTTGTTCATATTACTGATACTATAAAGCTGATTAGCTATAATAGTAACCTTTGTGATCATGTGCTGAGGAAGCAAAAAATGCTGTTACAGGAATTCACCTTTTCAGTCTCAGTTTACATCCTTGAGACTGAAACAGAAACCACACAGCAGATTTGACCCTACTGTTGAGGTTTAAATGAAACTTTTGACATTCCAACCATCATTATCCTGCTTTTACTTATGGTGTCTTTCTAGAAACAGACTTAAAGTAGGTCATAGTAAGAGAAAGTTTTGACTGAGTGTGCAATTGCTTCCATTATGGGGTCTGGTAAATGTCATTATAAATTATGTATCATAATCTCTGGTATATTCTACTTTCAGCCAGAAGTGGTGAAAAGTCTCTAAAACATAAAACTACCACATGTGCTTCAGGGAAGGTACGAATGAGAAAAACATAAAAACAATTCTTTTGAAACCACTTTTACAAAAGTGAAAGTCTGAAACGTCTACCTGTAGATCAGAATACAGTCGTACGCCATATGACATTTTGGTCAGCAATGTACTGCATGTACATTTCAGCTCCAATAATGGAGCTGAAAAATCCCTATTTGCCTAGTGATGTCTTTTTTTTATTTTTGTGGGTATACAGGAGGTGTATATATTTATGGAGTACATGAAATATTTTGACACAAGCATACAATGTATAATAATCACATCAGGATAAATGGGGTAGCCATCATCTCAAGCATTCATTTATTTGTGTCACAAGCATCCCAATTCTATTCCCTAAATTATTCTAAAATGTACCACAAATTACTGCAGACTGTAGTCCCCTGTTGTGCCATCAAATACAAGATCTTACTTATTCTATCTAACTATATTCTTGTACCCATTAATCATCCCCACCCCTCCGCTCCATACACCCTGCCTAGCCTCTGGTAACCATCCTTCTACTCTCTATGTCTATGAGTCCAATTGTTTTCATTTCTAGCTCCCACAAATGAGGGAGTACATGCAAAACTTGTCTTTCTATGCCTGGCTTATTTCACTTAACGTAATGTCCTCCACCAGTTCCATCCCCACTATTGCAAATGACAAGATCTCATTCATTTTTATGGCTGAATGGTACCGTACAAATGTACCACATTTTCTTTATCCCTTCATCTATTGATGGACACTTAAGTTGCCTGCAAATCTTGGCTATTGTGAAAAATGCTACAATAAACATGGGAGTGCAGATATCTCCTCCATATACTGATTTCCCAGGTGCTAGGTGTACCCCTAGCAGCAGATGTACATCTAGCAGCTGGATCATATGATAGTTTTGGTTTTTTGAGGAACCTCCACACCGTTCTTTATAGTGGTTGTAGTAACTTACATTCCCACCAACAGTGTATGAGGTGGGATGTAGAGTACTGTCTCTACATCCTCGACAGTACTCGTTATGTCTTTTGGATAAAAGCCATTTTAACCGGGGTGAGATATCTCATTGTACTTCTGATTTGCATTTCCGTAATGCATACTGTCGAGCACCTTTACATATATCTGTTTGTGATCTGTATGTCTTCTTTTGAAAAATGCCTATTCAGATCTTTTGCCCCCTTTTCCTTTGGACGTAGTCTCGCCTGGCCGCCCAGACTAGAGTGCAGTGGCATGATCTTGGCTCACAGCAACCTCCACCTCCCAGGTTCAAGCTTCCTGCCCTGGCCTCCAAGTAGCTGGGACTACAGATGTGTGCCACCACACCCGGCTAATTTTTGTATTTTTAGTAGAGACAGGGTTTCACCATGTTGGCCAGGCTGGTTAAACACGCATTTATTTATTCTAAGTCTCGAACTCCTGACCTCAAGTGATCTGCCCATTCAGCCTCCCAAAGTGCTAGGATTACAGGCGTGAACCACCGCACCTGGCCTTTTTGCCCATTTTTTAATCAAATTATTAGATTTTTTTCCTATAGAGTTGTTTGAGCTCCTTATACATTCTGATTACTAATCCCTCATCAGATGTGTAGTTTGCAAATATTTTCTCCCATTCTGTGGATTCTGTGGATTGTCTCTTCATTTTTTTGCTTCGTTGGCTGTGTAGAAGCTTTCTAACTTAATGTGATCTCGTGCCTACTGATGTCTTGATGAGCCTGATCCTGTGCAGGTCTAGGCTAATGTGTGCATTTGAGTCTTCATTTTTACCAAAAAAGTTCAAAAAGTAAAAAATAAATGAAAAATAAAAAACTTTAAAAACAGAAAAAAGCTTATAAAACAAGGATATAAAGAAAACATTTTTGTACAGTTGTACAATGTTTGCATTTTATGCTGTTTTATTATGAAAGACTCAAAGAGTAAACCCGGGCGTCGTGGCTCACGCCTGTAATCCCAACACTTTGGGAGGCTGAGGCAGGCGGATTACCTGAGGTCAGGAGTTCAAGACCAGCCTGGCCAACATGGTGAAACCCCGTCTCTACTAAAAATACAAAAATTAGCCGAGCGTGGTGGCACATGCCTGTAATCCCAGCTACTTGAGAGGATGAGGCAGGAGAACTGCTTGAACCCGGGAGATGGAGGTTGCAGTGAGCCAAGAATGTGCCACTGCACTCTAGCTTGGCTGACAGAGCAAGACTCTGTCTCAAAAAAAAAAAAAAAAAAAAAGAGTCAAAGAGTAAAGACAAAATTAAAAAGTTTACAATGTAAAAAAGTTATGGTATGCTAAGGTTAATTTATTATTGAAAAAAGAAAACTATTTTTCTATAAATGTAGTATAGCCTAAGTGTACAGTGTTTATGAAGTCTACAGTAGTGACAGTAATGTCCTAGGCCTTCGCTCACTCCCTGACTCACCCAGACCAGTTTCCAGTCCTACAAGCTCCATCCACAGTAAGTGCCCTATACAAGTGTACCATTTTTTATCTTTTATACTACATTTTTACTGTACCTTTTCTGTGTTTAGATATGCTTATATACACAAACACCATTGTGTTACAATTGCCTACAGTATTTAGTACAGTCACATGCTGTACAGGTTTGTAGCACAGGAGGAATAGGCTATACCATATAGGTGTGTACTAGGCTATATCATCAAGGTTTGCGTAAGTACATTCTGTGATGGTCACATAATATTGAACTCACCTAACGATGCATTTCTCAGAACATATCCCTGTCATTAAGTGACGGACCCTACCAAAGGGTCCCATTATCAAAAGTAGTGTGAAACAATGAGAAACAATGCTTGCATTAGTATTCAACTACTTATATTTCATGCCATAAAGACCTAATAATTTACATTCTTTCCCCAGTGTATTTTTTTCTACTCATTCATAACACTACTACTAAAAAACTCCCTGCTGTGGGCCGGGTGTGGTGGCTCAAGCCTGTAATCCTAGCACTTTGGGAGGCCAGGGCAGGCGGATCACCTAAGGTCAGGAGTTCAACACCAGCCTGGCCAATATGGTGAAACCCCGTCTCTCCAAAAATACAAAAATTAGCCAGGCATGACGGCAGGTGCCTATAATCCCAGCTACTCAGGAGGCTGAGGCAGGAGAATCACTTGAACCCAGAAGGCGGAGGTTGTAGTGAAGTGAGATCACGCCACTGCACTCCAGCCTGGACGACAGATCAAGACTCTGTTTCAAAAAAATAAATAAATAAATAAATAAATAAATAAATAAATAAATAAAGGCCTGCTGTGTTAAAAGTACCAAATAAAAGTATATCTGCTTTATGCTAAACCTTCTTTTGTTCGTATCCAATTAGCATTAACCTGTCTTTCATTTTTGTCAAACTTTCAGCTGAACACTTTGAAGCATTTCGGAAAGGTGAAACAATTGTAGCATTCCCTTAGTGATACTGAAGTTATGCTGGGGAAAGTGCTCTCATAAGGGAGCATTGTGTAAACACTTCATTAATCTTTGACTCAAACTTTCTCATGCTTTGCTTAAATCTACTTGGTGACCAGCAATCAGCCTGGCAATTTTTCAGTTTAAGCTTTTAAAGCTATGAAAAGAAAATACTTAAGGTACATATAGAAGACACTGTGATAATGTCATTTTGCTTAACACAACAGTGAACAAGTAAACAGTTTTTAAACTTGAATATATCTTTTGCAGGCCAAGAAAAAAAGCCTGTATGTCCCTCTTTTTCTACTTGACCCAAAATTAAGTCCTGATTTAAACAAAGCAAAAATATACTTACAGAACTAGCATCAACATCACTGTGGATGGCAACTGTCTTAATGCCCATCTTCTTGCAAGTTTTAATAACCTATTTTAAAATATATTAATGTCTATTAATAGTGATTCACACTTAAAGGGGTTTAATAATAAATAATTTCATAGAGTAAAATGGAAAATAAGATGAAAATTCTACTCACCCGACATGCAATTTCTCCTCTATTAGCAATAAGAATTTTATCAAAAGTCTGAAGACAGAAAAAACACATTCATTAGAAATTGTTACTCTTACTTTGGGACCAAAAAACACCAACTTTTTCCAACATTAACACTGAATATAATCCTAAAAAACATTACTTCTTAGAGTAACATTAAATACTATATTATTTAGAGTAATATTAAATGTACTATAAATACTTAGGGTAATATTAAAATAGGTTATTAAATAGTATAATCAGTTACAACCAGAGAACTATAAAATTCACCTGATATGATCGGGTTCTATAATTACTTTGTTAAAGCATAGTAGGTGAATGTATTCACAATGGGGGTATTTATCAATTCTCTAGCCAAAAGAAAATCTTCAAATGATATTTCAGATACTAAAAGACTGTAGTCAAGCCCGGGCGCAGTGGTTCATGCCTGTAATCCCAGCACTTTGGGAGGCTGAGGCAGGTGGATCACGAGGTCAGGAGTTCGAGACCATTTATGACCAACACGGTGAAACCCTGTCTCTACTAAAAATACAAAAAGGCTGGGCACAGTGGTTAACACCTGTAATCCCAGAACTTTAGGAGGCCAAGGTGGGTGGATCATGAGGTCAGGAGAGCGAGACCATCCTGGCCAATAAGATGAAACCCCGTCTCTACTAAAAATACAAAAAACATAAAAACAAAAAAATTAGCTGGGTCTAGTGGTGTGCGCCTGTAATCCCAGCTACTCGGGAGGCTGAGGCAGGAGAATGGCGTGAACCCGGGAGGTGGAGACTGCAGTGAGCCAAGATCGCACCACTGCACTCCAGCCTGGAGACAAAGCAAGTCTCCATCTCAAAATAAATAAATAAATAAATAAATAAATAATAAATTAAAATACAAAAATTAGCCTGACGTGGTGGTGCATGCCTGTAATCCCAAGTGCTGGTAATTCCAAGTAATCTCAGCTACTTGGGAGGCTGAGGCAGGAATCGTTTGAACACGGGAGGCGGAGGTTGCAGTGAGCTAAAATTGTGCCACTGCACTCCAGCCTGGGTGACAGAGCAAGACTCCGTCTCAAAAAAAAAAAAAAAAAAACAACTTTGGCCAAAATTACTTGACAATTTATTTTCTAAATTCTGGGAAATTCTAAGTGTCATGAGTTGTTTTCAAAGGAAAGTCTGATACTAAGTAAGAATAATTTATCCGCCATCTCTGTTGGGACAGGGCATATTTTCAGTAACTCAGAATAGGTACCAATTGTGCTTATATCCAAAAACGCCCAGGCTAAGCAGATTACACCATTTGAATACAATGTTAAGTTTGAATAACCACCAAATTTTGAAGCAGCTGAGACCAAATAGTAGAGAAGCTGTATATCCTGTGTTTATCTAGAGATCTAAACCCAAGTCCGGCTTTGCCACTAATGACTTATTTAACTTTAAGCAAATCAATCTCTGTAGGCCTTGATTTCCACATAAACTGGCAGCACTCCAAAGGAAAGCTATTTAGTAAGGTTTTCTTCCTACTCTAAAATTATACAGGCTAATCGTTTTTTAAAACACACCATTCCAAGTAATTTGGATGTTATACATATTAGCACATGGTAATTTCTGGATTTGTGAATTGTTTTTAAGTTCAACGGAACTACAGAAAAAAAAGTGTTAGTTATATTTCTAAAGGAAGGCTTAGAGTTACATATGATCTTTTTAAAAAGTACTCTTATATAACTTAGAGCAGTTTGTTTGTTTGTTTGTTTGTTTGTTTGTTTTTTGAGATGGAGTCTCACTTTGTCACCCAGGCTGGAGGGCAGTGGTGCGATCTCAGCTCATGGTAACCTCCGCCTCCCAGGTTCAAGATATTCTCCTGCCTCAGCCTCCCGATAGCTGGGATTACAGGTGCATGCCACCACGCCCCGCTAATTTCTTTGTATTTTTAGTAGAGATAGGGTTTCCCCATCTTGGCCAGGCTGGCCTCAAACTCCTGCCCTCAGGTGATTTGCCTGCCTCGGCCTCCCAAAGTGCTGGGATTACAAACCTGAGCCACCACGCCCGGCCTAGAGCAGTATTTTAACATACAGGAAAAAGTCCAGCATCTCAGAAGTGAAAAAAGCTTTCTAGGTCTTGGTTTAACCTTTACATCATATATGTCTTAACTCCACAAACCCGAGGCAAGCCCCTGCCTTAAAAACAGGTAAACTTCTAATTTGATAAAACGCTAAGCCACTCAGAGCCTTGCTCACACCTCAGGTCTGAGAACGCAAAATCATCTACTTTTCTGTATTTAAATGGTCATGGTAAATCCCTCTTAAGCAGCAAGCATATCCTGAGAAAACAATGATTACACTTTCTTTTTTTTTTTTTTTTTGAGACGGAGTCTTGCTCTGTCACCCAGGCTGGAGTGCAGTGGCCAGATCTCGGCTCACTGCAAGCTCCGCCTCCCGGGTTCACGCCATTCTCCTGCCTCAGCCTCCCGAGTAGCTGGGACTACAGGCGCCCGCCACCTCGCCCGGCTAGTTTTTTGTATTTTTTAGTAGAGACGGGCTTTCACCGGGTTAGCCAGGATGGTCTCGATCTCCTGACCTCGTGATCCGCCCATCTCAGCCTCCCGAAGTGCTGGGATTACAGGCTTGAGCCACCACGCCCGGCCAACACTTTCTTAAATGGGTTTTAAAATGTGATGTTAGTATTAACTGTGAAACAGACCATCTCTGATAATCACCATAAACACCACTCCTAGAAATTATATATTAAACAATTGTTACAGCAAATATAACAAATCATAACACTGGAAGAATTAAGAAAGAATCCCCATTCTAATTTCTGTTCAAGCAGCAGAACGGTCATTATGAGTCAGTCTGCAGCCAAACCACCCAGGCTGAACTTCCAGCACACTATGTTCTCCTCCTGTGTGTCCTGCTATGAACAAGTCATCCTTCTTGCCTCTCATTTCCTGGTATGTAAAATAAGGGTAAAAACAGCACCTGCCACAAGAGGTTGTGAGAATGATATTAATTAACACCCTTAAAGTGTTTAGAATAACGTCTAACACGTAATATATATTCATTCAGCATTAGCTATGGCTACTGTTCTTCACCCCTTTGGGCTACATGCCAGACTGTTATGAATTTAGGAGTGTGCCCTTATCTGTCTAACTGGGGAAGAGCTATATCAAAACAAATACCTGCACCTGACACATCTTCTCTGTTAAGGGCTATTAACGTATTACCAATTAGCACATAAAACTCAATAAAGCTAACCATATCAATACATAACATCATACATAACATTTTCTTTTAAATAAATCACAGTTCAGAATTTTTAAAGTACAAAAGGGGATACACTGAAGAAACACCCAAGTCCCTGCCCAAAAGGCAACCACTGTTACTGGTCTCCTATATATTCTTCCAGGTAGGCTACGCCTGTAACAGAATACACATACAAATCAATCAAAACCAACTAAAACTGCCCCTCTGCATCAAAATTACAGGTAAATATCAAGTGCATTTGGCAACTTCAAAGTAAAATATGGCACAAACACAATGAATTGTGTTAAGTGCTCTAATAAGGCTGTGTGCAGGATGCTACACAGAGAAGGGAGCGCATGAACAGCATGTGTAAAGGTTGTGACACTGGAAGAAGAGGGTAGCACTAAAGAACTACAAGGAATTCTCAACATGACTCAAGCGTGTGGTATGCTTCGGAGAGTTGTAGCAAATAAAGCTGGGATAAAAACAGTCCAGATGATAGAAGGACTCATACGCCATTCAAGGAACTGGGACTTGTTCCTGTATGTGGAGAGTCACTCATAAGGCACCCTGAAGACACTCAGAAAAAGACAACTATAAATTAGGATCCTGGATCCTTGAAGACAGAGGAGAGTTCAGGTACCAGAATAGATAATGAAGAACTTTGGCAGTAGCTGCTCTATAACTGTACTAATGATGTCATCTGAAGTAAAATATTTCCTAAGGATTTTTGTTGTTGTTGTTGTTGTTTTTCTCTTAATCCACTGTCTCTCTACCTCTCCTTCTTCCTTTCCCTTCCCCAGGTTTAGATGCTGTCTCCCGGGCTCTAACTCCACAGCTAGCAGCACACTCCATTCAGACACCAAGAGGGCTGAGCTGGCCCTGCACTGCGTGCTTGTTGGAATGATGGCAGAACTCTGGACACTGGGTCACTGCCCAGCTCTTCTGAGAAAGGGCACAGCACAATGGGTAAGTCCACCAGCTCTGGAAAAGGACAGACATGAGTTTACACCCAGCTACTCACTATCCATGGACTTTGAGTCTCAGTTTCCAAATGCGCAATATTCAGTGAAGGAGATTAAGCAGCCGACATTTAGGACACATTTTGTATACAGCAGGCACTGTGATGAATCCCTTCTGTGCATTATTTCATCTATCAGGTAATGGCTATGAGGACAATATTTAGCATAATAATCCCATGAAGTCAGTTCTGATAATATCTCCGTTATACAAATAAGAAAACTAAGGCTTGATGAGGCTAAATCACTTGCCTTAAATCACTTACAAAGTTCACTAGTGGTAAAGTCAGAGAGTTCACATCCAGGTATTCATGTCAGAACATACCATGACATAATGTGATCAGAGAATAACAATGCAAGCTCTAAACACTATGTTATTAATAACACCTAACATCACTTTTTTTTTAAGAGATGGGGTTTTGCTCTGTTACCCAGGTTGGTATGGAACTCTTGGTCTCAAGGAATCCCGTGTCTCGGCCTCCCAAAGCGCAGGGACTGTAGGTGTAAGCCACTGAGCCCGGCCAGCTCACATTAGTGTGAAAGGAACAACATAGTACTGTACTGGCTCACATTAATTTAAGGCCAGCTGAAATTTAATGGTCTTTATCTAAGCAGTTACCGTAAGTTAAATCTTCCTTATTCTCATGAACGTACATAAGACAACCAGTTAGCTTGTTAGAACTCCAGTTAAAAAAAAATAACATTTTCAGTGATGATTAAATTTCACCTGGATAAGTTATGCATGATGTAAGTCACTGATAAAATGTGGAATAAGAAAGGAGTTAATAACAGATTCAAACGAGAATCAATTTATTTAACAAATATGTATTACACCAAAGATCAAGTCTACTTGCACTTGGGACAGTAGGTATAAATAGACCAGGTCAATATTTAATGAATGGTTACAAGGACAGCAGGAATCCGGGAAGGAGAAAGGTCCGATTAAGTGCAGCCCTCAAGCAAAGGGTGAAGCGACCAATTTAGTCTGAACATGCACCTGTACCACGATTAGGTGCCAAAGAATATTCATCACTCACTGAGGGAAACACAGTTTCTCCACAGCCACCTTAGGCAAGGGCACAGCAAAGGAGATGGCAAAGATAGCAGGCAGCAGGATTGATTTCAGAATTTATGATGAAACATGCTTAGTAAATTCCAAGGGGATTCCACTTCTACACTCTTTAACCCTCCGATCTCTTTAAATGTGCCAAACCTGGGCCAGGCACGGTAGCTCATGCCTATAAGCCCAGCATTTTGGGAGGTGGAGGCAGGTGGATCACCTGAGGTCAGGAGTCTGAGACCAGCCTGGCCAACATGGTGAAACTCCATCTCTACTGAAAATACAAAAAAAAAAAAAAAAAATTAGCTGGGCATGGTGGTGTGTGTCTGTAATCCCAGCTACTCGGGAGGCTGAGGCAGGAGAATCGCTTGAACCCGGAAGGTGGAGGTTGCAGTGAGCCAAGATCATGCCACTGCACTCCAGCCTGGGTGACAGAGCGAGACTCTATCTCAAAAATAAATAAATAAATAAATAAATAAATGTGCTAAACCCAGACAGTTACACACATTTATTTATTTTTAGTAATTATCAGTGGTCACCCATGTGGGAGGTGAGTTACCTATTTCTGTAACTTCACTATGAGGTTGTAACGAAAGCAAGTGCCAGACCTAACTCTGTCCATACATACAAACATTTATTAAGACATAAAAAGAATCATAAAACCCGCTTGATAAGTTCAGTGAAATCTCAACTCCCTGTACTTTGTAAGGCTCCAAACGACTGCAAGAAAGGCTCGCCATAGGCAAAAAAAAAAAAACAATATTCTGATTTGGTTAACCATACTGTCAGACTAAGCCATCAAGAATCCACCAGACAAGTGGCTGAACACAGGACTATTCATTTAGGGATCGGGCATGAGTGTTATTCTTAAAGGTAAAGAATTAAAGGCCAACTACGTTATTATATTCTAATAGTACAAAGGCAGAGAATTTCTCTAAAGTAATAGCCAATAACATAATATCAACGAATATCACAAACTTCCTCAATGACAGCCCATTTCTTTTTCCTTCTTTGAGACAGGATCTCGCCCTGTAGCCTAGCAGTCTGGAGTACAGTGGTGCAATTATGGCTCACTGAAGCCCTGACCTCCTGGGCTCAAGTGATTCTCCCACCTTAGCTTCCTGTGTAGCTGGAACTACAGGCACACGCCACCACACCCAGCTAATTTTTGTGAAGGTTTTTTTGTTTTGTTTTGTTTTTGGTAGAGACAGGGTTTCGCCAGGCTGGTCGCAAGTTCCTGACCTCAAGCAATCCACTGGCCTCGAACTCCCAAAGTCCTGGGATTACAGGCGTGGGCCATCACACCTGGCTGATAGCCTACTTCTAACAGTTATTATGCTAATGAGGAAGGCTACCGATATTTATAAAGAGAAAGATGGCTGAGCCGTTTGTAGTATTCCACCCCTCTAGAATGTGGCCTCAACAAATGTTAGTTAACCACTCTTAAGAGTGTGGCCACTTAGGATAGATGATTACTTCAAGATTGGAATGCAACACATGGATACATGAACCCCAAAGCATATCACCTATGATGAAGATTTTAAATTAAACTACAGCTTTCATAACAGGGAGTTTATCGTAACTAATTCAATAGACCTGCACTATCCAATGCAGTAGCCACTGGTCACAAGAGGTTACTGGGCTCTTCAAATGTGGCTAATCAAACTGAGATATGCCAGAGATGTAAAACATACACTGGATTTAGAAGACTTAGGGCCCAAAAAAAGAATCTAAGGTGTCCTGTTAATACTTTTTATAGTGATTATGTACTTAAATAACATTTTAGATATTGAGATATTATTAAAATTAATTTTAACTGTTTACTCTTTTTTAATGTAGCTATTAGAAAATTGAAAATTGGCCAAGCGCCATGGCTCATGCCTGTAATCCCAACACTTTAGGAGGCTAAGGCAGGCAGACATTTGAGGTCAGGAGCTCGAGACCAGTCTGGCCAACATGGTGAAACCCCGTCTCTACTAAAAATACAAAAATTAGCCAGGCATGGTAATGAACACCTGTAATCCCAGCTACTCGGGAGGCTGAGGCAGGAGAATTGTTTGAACCCGGGACGCGGAGGTTGCACTGAGCCAAGATCACACCACTGCACTCCAGCCTGGGTGACAGAACAATATTCCATCTCAAAAATTAAAAAAAAAAAAAAAAAAACCTTGAAAATTGCATTTGCCCTGTGTATTAATCGGTTTTTACATTGCTATGAAGATACCACCCAAGACTACGTAATTTATAAACAAAGGTTTAATTGACTCCCAGTTCCACATGGCTGGGGAGGCTTCAGGAAACTTAAATCATGGCAGAAGGAAAGCAGGCACCTTCTTCACAAGGCAGCAGGGGAGACTAGTGCAAAGGAGGAACTTCCAAACACTTGTAAGATCATAAGATCCTGTGAGAACCAACTCACTATCACGAGAAAAACATGGAGGAAACTGCCCCCATGATCCAATCACCTCCCTCCCTCAACACCTGGGGATTACAGGTCGAGATGAGATTTGGGTGGGGACACAGAGCCAAACCATACCACCCTGCAACTGTGTTTCATGTTGTATTCCTACTGAACTGAAGATATGTAGACTCTTTCTTCCTCCAGGCCTCCAGATTCAAAAGAATCTGGAAAGCAGTATTGTGCACTTCAGCACATGATTCAGAGATACCGCAGACATGTCATTCTCAAATAATCATGCCTGTCAGTTGTATTTTGATGACAGTCACCTCGAACAATCCCTTCTTAACCAAAACTCCCACCCTCTTTAATGCTTTCATTGCCATGAAGGCATGAAACCGTATTTTATTTCCAATCACTTCTTCTAATCCCTACAAGGCTCAAACATTATTGAAATAGCATTTTAATTAGAAACTGCTTGTCCTGAAATTTATAATACACAAAATTATCTTCAATCTAAATGAATCATACAGGTAGGCCACAGTGGCTCACGTCTGTAACCCCAGCACTTTGGGAGGCCGAGGCGGGCCGATCACCTGAGGTCAGGAGTTTGAGACCAGCCTGGCCAACATGGTGAAACCCCGTTTCTACTAACAAACACAAAAATTAGACGGGCATGGTGGGGCACACCTGTAATCCCAGCTACTCAGGAGGCTGAGGCAAGAGAATCTCTTGAAGCCAGGAGGCAAAGGTTACAGTGAGCTGAGATCACACGACTGTACTCCAGCCTGGGCAAAAGAGCAAGACTCTGTGTCACAAATAAATAAATAAATAATATAAATATTAAGTAAATGAGGCCGGGTGCACAGTGTCTCACGCCTGAAATCCCAGCACTTTGGGAGGCTGAGGCAGGTGGATCACCTGAGGTCAGGAGTTTGAGACCATCCTGGCCAACATGGTGAAAGCCCGTCTCTACTAAAAATATAAATGTTAGCCGGGTGCAGTGGTGTACGCGTGTAATCCCAGCTACTCAGGAGGCTGAGGTGGGAGAATTGTTTGAACCTGGGAGGTGTAGGTTGCAGTGAGCCAAGATCACACCACTGCACTCCAGCCCGGGCGACAGTGCGAGACTCCATCTCAAAAAAAAAAAAAAGTATTAAGTAAATGAAAGAAAAACTCAATAGTTTAAATAAATCTCTTAACTGCCCAGTCTTTAAGAACAAATGATTTCTTAGTTATTCTTCTGAAAACAAAGGAAACACATTGTAAATGCATTCAATTTTTGGTAAAGATACAAATACAAAATTAAAAAGATTCAGACTGTGGCCCACAATGAAAAACAGAACATCTAAAGATTGAGCACCTATAGAAACATATAATGCTAGAGTGATCAATGACCCCACAGTCTTAAGAAAATCCCATTGAACACAGTATGGAGACAAGAAAGTAAAACCATGATAAGTTAGTTGTTGAGAGTATCGTTTAAATACTTACTTTTTCATTAGGATCATATCCCACTGAACCAAGATTACGGGACACCATTAAGCGCTGTCTTGAATAGTGCGGAACATGCTACAAAAAAAGAAAAGCAAAATAAATTGCAAATACTTGACGGGCTTTTGAACATTTTTTCAGGATATTTCTTCCAGTTGGGTTCTAGCGAAAGTGTTTGATCAATAAATAGTAGTTCCAGGCAATACACCATAATTATAATTATGGAAGGGAAATCTATCTACAGACACAGCCCGTCGGCATGTAAGAGAAACCAAAAGCATCAAAACAATCTCCAGAAAAGCAAAACAAGAATTGTCGATGGGCCAAGCAAATCTGAGGAAAGCCTTTCAGATCACGCAAAAGGATAGAACAGGGTCAGAAATGTCACAGACTACAAAGAACTTTTAAAAACACAAAACAAGAGTCTTGGTCTCAGGGAGCTTCGAATTTAACAGTGGCCAGAACATAATAAAATACTATTTTTATATTTGCTGATGTCATCAGCCCGATTTCTTATTTTACATTTTCTGGTACAAAAGTGGTTTGGCTAATAAATATGAAAAAGCAAAACCATTAATCAAGGATATTTCTCATTCATTGAACTGTTTGTGAAGAAAGCATATCTTAATGCTTTAATACTTAAGAACATTAAGTGACTAAGCCAGGCACAGTGATACACGCCTGGAATCCCAGCTACTCAGGAGGCAGAGGTGGGAGTACTACTTGAGCCCGGGAGTTTGAGGCTGCAGTGAGCCAAGATCACACCACTGTACTCCAGCCTGGGCAACAGAGCAAGACCCCTTAGAACTTTCTAAGAGGATAGCAACTCAAATAAGAAACAAAATGTTTTTATAGCAACATTTGTAAATGAACTGAAAAAATTGTACAACTAGTTTTTAAAGAGTCGGGCACCATGGCTCATGCCTGTAATCCTAGCACTTTGGGAGGCCGAGGCAGGTGGATCACCTGAGGTCAGGAGTTTGCAACCAGACTGGCCAAAATGGCGAAACCCCGTCTCTACTAAAAATATTAAAAAAAAAATTAGTGGGGCATGCTGGCACACACCTGTAGTCCCAGCTACTAAGGAGGCTGAGGTAGGAGAATTGCTTGAACCCAGGAGGTGGAGGTTGCAGTGAGCTGAGATCGTGCCACTGCACTCCAGCCTGGGCACCAACAGCGAAACTCATCAGAATGAATGAATGAATGAATGAATGAATGAACGAACGAATGAACGAACAAACGAATAGTAATCTCTATACAAAAGTGGAGGTAAAAGATACAAAAAGATATAGTTTATAAAATAAAACCTTTACCAAGTAAAAGACTAGGAACAACAAGGAACTATGAATGGGAAATTATTACTGTGTCCCTATTAAAGATCAAGACTATCTCTCATATATTCCTTCAAGCATAACTGTGAGTTCAAAGAGCATTATCCCCAAGTTTATGACAAAGTTGAGTCCCAAGAACTTTAATTTTTCAAAGGTCACAGGCTGATGCTGTAATGGTTACAAGATTTAACCACAGATTGGTCAAGAGCTTTCTGAAGTTTTTTATTTTTAGATAAGAAAAACAGTGGCGAGTCCCACATAAACACTAATATCTACTCAAAGACATGATGTTGTTCCACAGAGCCTGCACACATGTGAACTTGTAATAATGCGGCCCACAGCTATAAAAAGCATAGATGCCTCCCAGTTAGACAGCAACCAGAAGTAGAACTCAGGCCGGGCACAGTGGCTCACGCCTGTAATCCCAGCACTTTGGGAGGCCGAGGCGGGCAGATCGCTTGAGGTCGGGAGTTCGAGACCAGCCTGACCAACATAAAGAAACCCCATCTCTATTAAAAATACAAAATTAGCTGAGAGTGGTGGTGCATACCCGTAATCCCAGCTACTTAGATGGCTGAACCCAGGAGGCGGAGGTTGCAGTGAGCCAAGATTGTGCCGTTGCACTCCAGCCTGCGCAAAAAGAGCGAAACTCCATCTCAGAAAAAAAAGAAGTAGAACTCGTACAAGCAAACACAACTATGACAGAACAACTACCAGTGTGAACCATTCCCACAACAAGTCTCAACTGGTTTGGAGTCAGCCCCACAAAGGCTCTGTTCCTGTTTACTCCTGGGAGACATTCATGGAAGGTCAAAAATGAAGAATCAGGTCAACACTCAGACTATTTGTGTAAAGCCACAACATAAAATTTATGTTCTAAATGCAGGAAAACGTTTGTAGAAGTCTGCTAATTTGGACCTCTACACAATTTTAACGTTTGTTGTTTTTGTTAAGCATGTAACAAACTGGCTACACGCCCAGTCCAAAATTCTTTGTAAGGTATTTCCTAGTAATAAAGGTTCTGAGAAAGAACTTTAATCAATTCTATTTATAAAGACTATTTAGCCAATCACAGCCAAAAGGAGAAAGGTCAGGGTGTGCAAAATGACTCCCCAATAACATATTGCCATTGGTTCTCTCCCACAGGAATAACGATTTCCTATATTTTCCACACATAGAAAAGAAATGCCTGCAAATGGTTTGGCACATGGGAAGTGGCATTGACCCTCAGGGTCACAAGACTTGGGTCAACTCTCAGCTATGAGTCATTGAGCTAATCATTTATCTGGGCCCCCATTTCCATCTACAGAATGCAGGTGATGACACCTCCCTGATTTCCTAGGGAGTTGTTAAAAGGATCAAATGAGTTTTTATACATAGTGAAGTGCCAAAAAATGTAAGGTTTTACATGAAAACTAAATCCAAATATGCAGCTATCACCTTCTTTGTTAAAACCATACCAGAACCACTTGGGAGTTACCATTAGAGAATAATATAGTCAATAAGAGTTCTGGTCTAGACTCAGATTCTGACCTGGATTCGAATCTTGACTCTGACATTTCCTAGATATATAGAAAGTTTCTTCATTTGTACACTGGGGATAATAATAGTACTTATCTAAGTCACAATGCTGCTATGAGGATTAAATGAGAATGTCTAACATGGCTAGCACAGTCTTGCATATATTATCATCAGCACACAATAACTTAGACAAAAATGGGGGGAAATGGTAGGCTTTTAGACAAACTGGTTGCATGCCTTCCAGTCATGGCAAACAGGGAAACAACTATCCTTTCTTAAGATTAGATAGCACTGGCCAGGCGCAGTGGCTCATGCCTGTAATCCCAGCACTTTGGGAGGCCAAGGCGGGTGGATCACAAGGTCAGGAGATCGAGACTATCCTGGCTAACACAGTGAAACCCCGTCTCTACTAAAAATACAAAAAAAAAAAAAAATTAGCCGGGTGTGGTGGTGGGCGCCTATAATCCCAGCTACTCGGGAGACTGAGGCAGGAGAATGGCGTGAACCCGGGAGGCGGAGGTTGCAGTAAGCCGAGATCGCGCCACTGCACTCCAGCCTGGGTGACAGAGTGAGACTCTGTCTCAAAAAAATACTAAGCATGATGTGGCCTCACGTGGCGGTTAAAACTGGTAAATCCACTAGCAAATATCTTAAAGAACAATCTAAACACCAGTTCTGCCAAAACCAAAACTACTGTTAACTCACCCACAGTAGCAATCAGGTGAATAATACTAAATAACTCATTATCAGATAAATTCATTATCAGAATGCATTCTGCTTCAAAGAAGAAAGTGTCCTCAAAACTGGGTTAACGGAGCTATAAAATGGTCTCACCAAGGTCAAAGTAAACATTAGTTTACGTCATCTTGCTTCATCTCTAAAATTCCAGGTGAAGGTCTTATCCATGTATTATGACACAGAGTTTGGAAGCATCTGTTGAGTATTTCATCGTGCATTGTAACAGAAACCAAGGGGCCTTCTGAGCACATGCCTTTCTCTGAAGACACTTGATTTAAGTCTGGCTTTTTCCTGGAAGCATAGCTTTTCTTGCAAATAGACTATTTAGTCTTCAGGATCTCAGAGACCGTTCCAGTCTTCAGTGTCTGCCAAAAGCCAAGCTGAACACCTAATATTTGAGAGAGATGTTCAAGACTCAAGATTCTCTGGGCTCTGCCTCTGTACTAAGCTCAAGCACCAGAAAACTATACATGTCAACTCTAGAACTTCATTATCCCACCCTTGACTCTTCAGCCAGGCCATTCTTCCCCATCCGGCTGTAGCAGATGTTGTCAGAGGCCACTCAGATCCTCTCTAGCTACTGTGTTGACAACTAACGGCTCACACCCACTCCCTCATCTTGACCATGTTCCTCAACTATACAGTTCTCCATCAAGCCTGAGAGCTACCCCCACCCTGCCTGGCCAAGGGCTAACACTGCATTCAAAAGGCCAGTCCCAGCACCTCAAGGTGGGACTTCATCAGTAGCACAACCTGTGCCCTAGAGCTGTTCCACCCAATATGGCAGCCATGAGCCACACTCAGATGTGCGCTAAGAGTAAACTACACACTGGATTTTGAAAACTTAGTGCCCAAAAGATGTAAAAGATCTCATTAGTGAATTTTTACATTTACATATTCAAATAATGCTTTGAATATTTGAATATATTAAGTAAAATATATTAATTTCCTCTTATTTTACTTTTTTTGTTTTTTTAAGAGATGGGGGTCTCACTATGTTTGCCCAGGCTGGACTGCAGTGACTAGTCACAGGCACAACTATAGCCCATGGCAGCCTCTAACTCCTAGACTCAAACGATCTTTCCACCTCAGCCTCCTGAGTAGCTAAGACTACACTTCCCTGCCACCACACCTAGCTTCGTTTTACCTTTCTTTTTTTTGAGACAGGATCTCACTGTGTTGCCCAGGCTGAAGTGTAGTGACAGGATCATAGCTCACTGCAGCCCTGAACTCCTGCATTCAAGCAATCCTCCCACCTCAGCCTCCTGAGTAGCTGGGACTACGGATGCATGCCACCATGCCCCACTAATGTTTTCATTTTCTGTAGAGATGGGGTGGCAGGGGAAGGAGGTTCTCACTATTTTCCCCAGGCTGGTCTTGAACTCTTGGTCTCAAGCGATCCTCCCACCTTGGCCTCTTCACTTTACTTTTTTTTAACATAAGTATTAGAAGATTTTTGTTTGTTTTTTGAGACGCAGTCTCACTTTG